TCCCTGCTAAGATGCCTGGGAAAGCAGTGGAGAGTAGCCCAGGAGCTTGGGCCCCTGCACCCACGTGAGACCTGGAAGAAGTTCCTGGCTCCTGGTGTAGGCCTGGCCAGGCCTCTCTCTGTCTCCTCCTCTCTTTCTCTGTAACTTTGCCTTTCAAATAAATAAAAGAAATTGAAGGGGGTGGGGGAGAAAGAGGGGAAAGAAGGAAAAGAAAATGTACATTTGAGGGTCAGGCATTGTGGTACAGCAGGTTAAGCCACCCCCTGGGACACCCACCTCTCATGTCAGCACCCACATCCCATGTCAGAGTTTCCAGTTTGAGTCTCAGCTCCTTCCCACTTCCAGTCCGGCTTCCTGCTAGTGTGCTGCTTGAGGCCCTGCCACCCACGGTGGAAACCTGGAGAGCGTTCCAGGCTCCTGGCTTCAGCCTGGCCCAGCTCTGGCTGTCCTGGGCATTTAGGAAGTAAACCAGTAAATGGAAGATAACCCTCTCTGTATCTCTCCCTGTCTGTCACTTGCCTTTCAAATAAATTTAAAAAAAAAAAAAAGAAAAGAGCGAGGCTTGGTGTGGCGCTGTTTCTCCCTCCCTGGGTCTCTGTGCCTCACGCAGCACTTCCAGCAGAGCGTCCGGAGGTTCACAGCCTCCGTGGTGGGCAGGAGCCACCGTGAGGAGGCCTGGGGAAGAGCTGGCCATTTTCAGTGAAGACAGGTGGAGGCCGCTGGTTATGACTTCGTATTTTGGACCTGGATTTGCTGCACCTTTCCTCATAGTACGACACCAACTTAAGAAATAAGGATGCTTTAGGTCACCCGTTTACCAGCTAACACATTTCAGAAAGTGCCGTCTCTGAAAAATGGATTAAATTCTTGATCTCCTAGCATGCTAGGTATGTTTCTAAATAAATTTACTACTTGAATGCTTAATGCCTCTTCTCTGATACAGGGAATGAGATCATTGAGCAAGTGCCTACTTTATTATTTGGCTAATAGTCAAGTATTAGTTTCTTAATCAAGGTGTGTATGGTTTAGCTTGTTACATGACCTTAAATTCTGAGATTTTTACTTATTTAATTTCTGCCTTTTTTTAGATTAAGACATTGTTGGAAATATATGATATAAAAGAGAAATGCAAAATTTAAAAGCAAATAAGCATTTTAAATCTCATTTCTTTTTTCAGTAACCCTGGGGAAGACTTTATTTCCATTTTACAGATGTAAAAACAAGTTAGAGATTAACTTGACCAAATCACACACCTAATAATTAGCAGAGACCTGGCTCAAATGTAATCTGCACCAGCCAAGAGCCTGTTATTTTTAGCGTCACCCTGCACTGCGTTTCTGTTCAGTGCCTCGTGTTAGGTTGCACACTTCTTAATTGCACATCTGTTTAATAAAGGGCTTAACATGGAGTCAGAGGCAAACCCAGAGGCAAGGGTTATTGGGAGGCACCTTTGAAGGTGGCAGGGCTGTGCAGAAGGTCACCCGTGAGTGAGCAGTGCAGCCTCACTGTGCACACCGGGTGCAAAGGCTCCTGGGGCTGGGAGGGAGGCCTGTGGGTGAGCGCCTCTCGGAGGAGCTCGAGTGATGGCCTGTGCACAGGGGTGTTGCAGAAGACCTCCATGTTCATGTGTTTGAAGCCCGAACAGTTCAGAGCCAGAGAGCTCACGACTGCTGGGTGGGTCTTGGGGATGAAGGATGAGGTGGGTAGGTTGGGAGGTCTCACCAGTGTGTGAGAGTCTTGCTTCTGTGTGCAAGTGCAGGCATCGAGCGGGCCGCTTTTCTTGTGCAGAGTTAGAACCAGCTGAGAGGTGCTTGCAGGTAAAAGATTTTTGTTCCCTCTGGCCTTTCTTTCTTTTTCTTTTTTTTTTTTTAAAGATTTATTTATTTATTTGAAAGGCAGAGTTACAGAGAGGCAGAAGCAGAGAAAGTCTCCCATCCACTGGTTCACTCCCCCAGATGGCCGCAACAGCCAGAGCTGGGCCAATCAGAAGCCAGGAGCTTCTTCCTGGTCTCCCATGTGGGTGCAGGGGCCCAAGGACTTGGGCCATCTTCCACTGCTTTCCAAGGCCATAGCAGAGAGCTGGATCAGAAGTGGAGCAGCCGGGACTCGAACCAGCACCTCCCTCTTGCCCTGATAGTCCGTTCCTTTCTTTTGCTGCTCTGCAAGATTTGTGTGATTGTGTAGCTCAGAAATCAGCCTCTACATCTGGTGGCACCTCTCCTGCCTGCTCTCTTTCCCCGAGTTCAGAGAAACCCTGAGCATGCGGGGGTGGGCCAGGGCACACTGTCAGCTCTGCCCCCAAGAGGCCGTACACTGTGGGCAGACATGTTCGTGGTCGTCCTTTGTCCAGACTTGTCGTTAGATTAGGAGGTGCCGAAGGGTTCTTCTCAGTGGTGCATTTTCAGCCAAATGTCTGGGGTACTTTGCACTCACTGTGCAGAAGAGGCTGTTGAGGGCTGGGAAGGCATCGGGGTGGTGCTTCCGACTCGCTAACGAACACTGAGGGAAACTGGGAGTGTCTCATGTCCCAGGGTGACTTCCTACACATTATTAACCCAGACTTCAGTCACAGAAAAATAGGGTGGGTTAGGGTGATCAGATGACTAACGGTGGCTGTGCTGTGCTCACAGAGGGCATCGTCTCACCTAATAGGTGGCCGAACCTTGGTTGTTGGAAAAGAATTTAACCCTTGAGATTTGAATCATGCTGACAGGCCCTTATGTACTCATTCAGAAGGTATTTATTGAGGTCTTTAGCAACCTGTGTATTATGAGAAGTCCTCCCCTTATCTCCCCCAGGTTCATATAAAGCAGGGTGCCCTAGAAGAACCTATGCTGGTGTTAACTCTATTTATTTATTTATTTACGTGTATGTATCTTGTAAAATACATTTGGAACATAGTAATTCTTCCCACCCACTCTCCCACCCCCTCTCCTGTTTAGACTGAAAAAGTAAAAGAAAGAAAGAAAAAAAGAGAGAAGGGGGAAAATGAAAAAAAAATTAAGAAAAATGTTTCTCAACAGTCCAGACATTGCTTATCGAAGGTGATTTTGCTTGTGTGTGTGTGTGTTTTAATAAAATACCCCAAGGAGTGGGACTAGGAAGCGGTGTCCCCAAGTTTGAGAGGAGCATGCCACATGGCTTTGTAGCCAGGAGCCTGCGTTGCAATCCCAGCTCCAGCAGTGACTGCAGTGCCCCGCACAGCGTGGTCTCCACATGTGACGTGGGCGCTGTGTTGACCTGCAGGGGTGGGCTGAGGAATCACAGTCACGCGGGGCCTGGTACACTGTAAGCGCTCACACAGTTTGATGCTGTGGGTTTGGCTGATCTACAGCCACCTGTACGGGAAAGGATAGAGGCAGTACCTCTCACCTGCGGAGAGCAGCCTGGGGTTTGGGAGAAAGTACAAGTGCTGGGGATCAGTTTGGTCTCCTTCGGTTACTGGGATCGCAGGGGTAAGGTAGCAGCTCTTCCCTGAGTTCTGAACCAGCCAAGTGAGGGGGGGGAGTGACAGGAGACCCTGTACTAGTGATGTGGCTGGTCCTGGTTTATATCTGCAGGAAGTGGGCTTCTTAGGACAGGACCCCAAAATTAGACAGACATGTCCCACTGGACATATGTGGGTGCTGGAGAGGCTGGCCCTCCACCCCCAAGTGGAGCACACAGTCACACGTCAGTCAGGGGGCTGCTTCCCAAGGAAAGGGAAAAGAGGAGGGGACAGCAGACAACACGCCCAGCTCCACTCCGTCTGCCTAGAACACTTTGTAAGCGAGGGCAGGGAGAGGCCAGGAGTAGGACACAGGTGGCAAACCTGGGACATTCAAGCTTACGTTACACAGGAGACCTGGCCCATGGCTTTGGGGCATCCTGGAGCAGCCCAGCACTCAGGCTTGCTGGATCCAGAAGCTCGCTCCCGTGGGGCCCGGGACCTTCTTCTCATGGTTCATGTCCCCTCATCTTCAGCAGGATCCCCAGGCTCATGCGACCCTTAGCCCTTAACTTCAAAGATGGAGATAACGGCTTTTCTGACCTCTCTGTCAGAGTGTCTCTCTACTGCTTCAGGGAAGACTTTGTGTCCATGTCAGAATTAGGTGGATTGGAAGATCTGAAACAGATAGAAACCTTGCTTCCTATGAACCTACCAAAACAGAGAGAAATCCAGGACGGTTGATGCTGTGCACCGCACCGACTTCTAAAAACTAGCAGTGATCATATTGCATGATGGGAACCAGAGGGTCTGGTCTTTTTTCTGTTTCCTTGTAGTCCAGGTATTACTACTTCATAAATGGGGAGGGGAATAAAAAGCAAACTTCTGCCAAGTGTATTTGTTTCAACTTGGCCTTGCTCCCAGAAAAACATGTAAAGCACAGATATGCAAGTAGGGCCGGCGGAGTAGAAAGAGGCGGCAGCCCAGGAGGGGATACCTCCGACTTGCCACAAGCAGGAGACCAGCCCTGAAGACAACCCTTTTCTTTGCATCTGTCAGTGGGGAATCTGTCACACTAAGGCAGTAGAAGATGGGCCGGGGACGCTGTTAGAGCTGGCTGCCTTTGAGGAGCATGTGACTCCTGGGCCAGAGCGTTGTGACATGGCTGCCACCTGGGCCCAGCTGGCCTGCTCTGCCGAGTGCAGGAAGATTTAAATATCTGGGATTTCCTTCTAGTGATGTGTACTCCCCTCCTTGCCACAGTGCCTCGCAGCCAGGGCCGCAGCCAGGGTAACCATTTTCGACCCAGTGGAACACCTCTGCTGGGTTGCGCTGGGCCCTCCCCTCAAACCCACTTGCTGCTCCTAAGTCGGAGAAAATAAACCCAGCTTTCCAGAGGCTGTTGGCGTTTAGACAGGCCCGGCCCTTGAAGAGTCCTCCTGCTGCGCCGGCATAAAGTCAAGGTGTTGGAAGTCCAGCGAGAGGCCATGGCTCGGGAGATGCATTTGCATAGTGTGTGGGGTTCTATTGCTGTTGTCTCTTCATTAACACTCAGTTACCTGTCTCCAAACAGACAGCTACAGACAGTTCTTCTAATTCCTCCCAGAAGAGGGAACAACCTACTCGGACAATCTCCTCTCCCACATCCTGTGAGCACCAGAGGATTTACACCCTGGGCCACCTCCATGACTCGTACCCCACGGACCACTATCACCTCGACCAGGTGAGTGGTGTCTCGCTCCTCTGCCATCCTCAGTGCAGTTGGCTCCAGCTCTGGAAGGGAGCCACAGCCTCGAGCCCAGGTAGGGTCTCTTCTGCTCTCCTCTGTGCCCCCCGGCCCCATACTGAACGTGCTAGTCTCAGCCTTATCCAGGATTTTCTGTGTGCCAAGCCCTTTATGTGCTTTATCTGGTTTATCCTCACCAGTTACCCCACAAGACAGGTCGCCAGCGTCCCTGGTTTATAGGTGAGGAAGCCGAGACGTAGGGGAGCTGGAGTACCAGGTGGAACAAGGTGGGAACCCAAGTCTGTCCTCGCCCACGGGGCTACACTGGCCCCTGCGTTCTTGCGTCTCAAGGGCCTCCTGGCTCTGTGTGGAAGCACAGAGCCGTGATCAGCACTAAGGAATGCTGCGCGCTTGGCGTGAGCCCCCTGGCATCACAGGCTGCAGGCCCAGTCTCGCTCAGGGGGATGCAGCCGAAGTCTGGAATTCAGTAATTCAACAAATATTTACTGAGCGACTGCTCTGCAGAGCAGGTTTCCAAACTGTGGGGCATGGACTGGTGCCTGTGTGGGGTGATGTGCTCGCTAGACTGCTTTTGAAATGAGAAGAATAAAAAGAAGCACAAGGCAGCGAGTTGTGTGTGTGTGTTTTTTAAACATAAAGCTAGATTTCTTGGACTTTTTTTTTTTAAGTAACTTTATTATGTGCTTCCTAATATTTTAGCATTAAAATGTTCTCTTTCTAAAATAACATTATGATAGCAGTCATTGGAAATGGACTTTTTGGCTTGCCTTACTTGGCAGCATAAAAACTAGCAAAGTCTATCAGTTCCCACAAGTTGTTTTGAAGTCCTTTAGGACTGAGATTTTTCTGAAGTCTGGGAAACTCTGATAGGGAAGATCTGGCAGGGATTCGGGTGAAGTGTGTGAGGCATGGCCCCGACCTCAAGGAGCTCGCGCGCGGGCTGGTGGTGGGGAAACCTCTCGCCACATGATGGGCTCTGAGACAGCCTTCTAACAACCGTGACGGCAGCAGGTGTCACCTGCATCCTACGCACCAAGGCTCTGAGCCGACTCTCGGCACAGGTTGCTTCTCTTCATCCTCACAACGGCCCATGCAGTTGGGTAGCCACGGAGACTGCGTCTCAGCGACTTGCTAGGCTTCCCGTAGCGTAGTCCGCAGTTGACAGCAGTGGGTCACTCCAGAGCCAGGCCCCTCATCCCCAGACAGCCCTTCACCCGCCAAGGACTTCAAAGGCAGAAAATCTCGTTCTCTGCCACAAGCGGGGCTCCTGGGCGAGCCGGGTTACGTGCGTCTCTCCAGTAAATATTTACCCCGCGCCTGCTGCCCTGGACAAGGCTCTGTTGAACACCGCAGCGGGACCAGCTGCCGAGAAGGCTCATGTGCACAAGGGGAGAAGGCAGTTTGGATTTGAGGGTTAGAGGGTGTGGCTCTGGATCTGCCCACTCGCAGTCTGAGAGATTGGAGCCCAGAGGTCAGGTCAGGTCACAGAGCCTTCACTCACCCTTCTCTTCTCTGCATGCAATCTGCCCAGCAGGTTGCAGACTGAGCCCTCTTTTTTTCTAGAATGCCCCCTACCGTTCTTTAGAACGTGGCCAGCACTGAGAAGTGCGTCTCCGGTCATGCCCCAGTGCCCACATACAGTATACATGCAGAAGATGAGAACCTCCTTGAAGCAGCCCTTGCTGTTACATACAACATGTAAAGGAAGCCAGGCTCACAAGAGAACGTACTGCACAGCAACAGCCAAGGGGCAGGCCTGTGACCTGGCGTGAGGAAGGACACCAGAGTCCCACAGCAGACTGCTGGAGTTGGGGTCCCAGCTCTGGCTTCTGGCTACAGCTTCCTGCCAGTGCAGACCCTGGGAGGCAGCAGGTGATGGTTCAAGTAATTGGATCTCCATCACCCACAGAGACCTAAGTTCAATTCCCAGCTCCTGGATTTGGTGCAGCCCAGCATGGCCCTTGCAGGCATCTGGGGAGTGAGCCAGCAGATAGGAGCTTGCTCTATGTGTCTCTCTTTTCTTTTCCTTTTCCCTCCTTCCTCCCTTCCCACCACCCATCCCCTTTAAAAAAAAAAAAAAAAAAAAAGCAGGTGAGACTGATGTACCTGTTGGGAGTCAGCATGGCTGGTACTCTGGGAGTGGAAGGTACCTGAGGGAGGTGGAGGACGTTCTGGGAGGCAGGCAGGTCCTGTTCTGCCCCGTCACTTGGGTGTGTTGGCCTTCTGAATATTCTAGACTCCTGTGATGTGCACACTTCCTGGCATATATGATAATACTTCAACAAAAGGGAGGGAAATGCTGGTCTCAACCCATTACACAGATGTCCAGATGCAGTCAATGAGTTGAGACTCAGACCTTGAAATCCATCTTTGATCAACCATCAAGATGTCCGGTAATTAACAGGATGGGTCCATTTGGTCAAGCAGTGCCTGGAAGGGGCCATGCTGGTAATTGTGTTAGCAGTTAAGGTGCCCACGCTGCCCATCAGAGTGCCTGGGTTCCAATGCTGGTTCTGCTGCCCGCATGTGGGAGATCCAGATTGAGGTTCTGGGATCCTGGTGTCAGCCTGGCCCACCCAGTGTGTGTCCGACTTTTGGGGAGAGAACCAGCCGATGAGAACTCTGTGTCTCATTGTGATAAATGAAAGTAATTTTAAAAGGAAGCTCCTTGCTGGGGATGAAAGGTGCCTTCTGGCCGACTTGGGAGGGAGGCCGCTGTTTTTGGCCACTACTGTAAAACAAATTCTCCTTCTTCCCCGCGGCAGCCGATGCCGAGGCCCTACCGCCAGGTGAGCTTCCCGGACGACGACGAGGAGATCGTGCGCATCAACCCCCGGGAGAAGATCTGGATGACCGGCTACGAGGACTACCGGCACGCGCCGGTCAGGGCCAAGTACCCGGACCCCTCGGAGGACGTGGACTCGTACGTGCGCTTCGCCAAGGGCGAGGTCCCCAAGCACGACTACAACTACCCCTACGTGGACTCCTCAGACTTCGGCCTCGGCGAGGACCCCAAAGGCCGCGGGGGCGGCGTGATCAAGACACAGCCGTCGCGGGGCAAGTCCCGGTGGCGGAAGGAGGACGGCGAGCGCTCCCGGTGCGTGTACTGCAGGGACATGTTCAACCACGAGGAGAACCGGCGGGGCCACTGCCAGGACGCTCCCGACTCGGTGAGAACTTGCATCCGCCGGGTGAGCTGTATGTGGTGTGCGGACAGCATGCTGTATCACTGTATGTCGGACCCCGAGGGGGACTACACAGACCCCTGCTCGTGCGACACTAGCGACGAGAAGTTTTGCCTCCGGTGGATGGCTCTTATTGCCTTGTCTTTCCTGGCCCCCTGTATGTGCTGTTACCTGCCCCTTCGGGCCTGCTACCACTGCGGAGTGCTGTGCAGGTGCTGTGGGGGCAAGCACAAAGCGGCCGCCTGACTCGGCGTCTCTCCCGCGCTCCTCTCCTCCTGCCCCGGGACCCTGAGGCACCATTCCAGCCCCGGGAACCTGCCCGGGGGGCTCTCAGCTCCCTCCGCCACCGCCCTGCGGCAGCCGCACACACCCACTCACACACAGTGTTCTGAGGAAAGGAACTTGGGCCTGGACTCTGGTGTATTATTAACAACCTGTAATCAAGCTGTTTTATCCACGCGGCCATTTCCTGTCTGTCCTCCCCACCTCTTCCAGTTCAAGGGCGTCTGCAGTGGGAACTGCTGCGGATTTGGGGCTGGGTTTTCCCAGACCCGGTCTTTCTCTCGGTCCGGCAGCAGGTTCCTGCGGAACCCTGATCCCCGAATGATGCGACCCTACCGGAAGTATTTTAACCTGCAGTCAGTTATTATGTATAGGAGGTGAGCTAGTTAACAAACTTGTACCATAAAATATCGCTTTAACTCTTCTAAAGCCAAATTTCCCATGAAAGCTGCAGTTTCTCTTAAGTCCATCATCATTTTCTGTCCCTGCCTCCCCCCACCCCTCCTCGTGCAAAAATAATAATAATAACCTGTCGAAATTGTTCACTGATGCAAAACATTCACCATAAAATGAGAATTGAGCCTTAACTTCAGATTAACTCGTGAGAATCAGGAAAACTCCTTCAGCTGCGTCACACCCTCAGACCAGGGCTAGAAAGGGGATATTTCAGGTTTCTTTGAGCCTCCCTGGTTATCCTAAAAATTGACTTTTTTTAACAGTTGTGTTGCCACCACTTGCTAAAAAAAATTAGCAATATTAGAATAAGAGTAAAAATTAGAGTAAGAAATCTTGCTCATGGTTTTGCGAGCCAGATAGTCTATTCAAACACAAACCAGTGCTGTAGGAGCAAGTGGCACTACACTACGGTTGTGGGGGATAAAGCTATAGGAGTTTCTTTCCCTCCCCCTGGTGGCTATTTATAGTAACAGGGTGGGGGGTTTTAAATATCATCACTTCCAAGAGTGGTGGGGTCGCATTTTTGCCTGTGGGTTTATGTTTTCATTTTCATTTTGGACTCAACTTCATGTCACCAAATTCTTCATTTATACTTGGGAAAAAACAAGGCCATATGTAAAAACCCTTCCAATGCCTAAGTGTCTTTCTCCTGCAACTCCAAACCCAGACTTGCCACTTTGCGTGCACAGGTGGTTAGGCCAGCCGGCCAGTTCCACCTGTCACCTTGCCACGTAGGAGGCTTCTTACTTAGCTGGAACAGAGTATTTTTCTAATATATTGGGAGGAAAAGCCAAATCTTCTTATTGAAGAAAAAGGAAAAGTGAAGAGTGGTTACCTGTACCTAGCATAGTACAATCAGAACCTCGTGGAGACCACGGGGGACAGACAGCAGGCCTGTCGACACTGGCTGTTCTTCCTGCCACAGTCCTTCTGTGGGAATCGCCAGCCACTGGCAGGACCCTGTCCTCCTCGCCTCCTTTCCCCTGTCCTTTCTCTCTTGCACACAGGACATAGTCTTCAAGGAAAGTGCTAGCCATGCTGAACCTCCCCGGCAGGGCGTTCAGCCCGCCTGGGAGCCCTACCCGTTTCTTCTGCGTACACACCCAGTGTGCTTCTGAGTTGGTTGGCAGCTCTTGCCATTTGTTGGAGTGACCAGTGGGACCCGGTTCACCGTCCATGTGGATCGATGGAAAGAGAGCTAACGGCTTCCCTGCCTGGAGAACAGCGAGACACCCTCCAGCCTCCCGCTCCGACGACGCTGTCGAGACGGCACCTTCTTCCCGCCTGAGGTCTCCCTCAGGGTCTCTCTCTAAGGTCTCCTCTCTACAAAGCACAACACTAATGTATGTGTCCTTAGACTTCCGTTCAAGCGCCCCTATTTATTTCAACAGGAACACACGTTTCAGAGCCACCTTTTGTTTGTCACCTCTGTCGTCCTGCCCACCCTCCTTTGCCCCTCGACCCTTCCTACCTGCGAGTCTTACTCCGCAAATCCTTTTTGGTTTGTGAAGGCAGCGGTTAAGGGCACAAAGACGGCCATGGGGACATTTATGTAAATACGTCTCTCCCAGCACCACCCTGCAGCTGAACAACGTGTAGTGCTTTCCCAAGTCAGCTTTGCCATCATGACGTCAGTCATTTGAGAAAAGTACTCAGATTTTATTTTTGTATCGGTGGTAACAAAACATTAACCAAAAGGTTTTCTGTTGGGAAGCTTCCCTGACCGTCTCCCCTCCCCCACCCAAGCTGTTTGCTCACATTAACAGATTAAAAGTGCCTGAGACATGATCCATTCTTTCCCTGTATATTAAAACCCCGTTGTATTGATTTTTTATAATAAGCCTTTTTACCTCTGTGTAAAAAAATATATATACAAGTGTATGATGTACATTTTAGTTCTTAACTTTTTTTTATGGTTTCTAATATGTATGACCAATGTAGCCATTGCTTTAAAATGTACCATGTAAATATAAACACATCCTATCAGATCACTGACTTGGGGGTGTTTGTGGGGCCGGCGACCGATGAGGGGAGCCATGGAGCCGGGGTAGACATGGCGTTTCTTGCACCTGGGATGGGGTGGGCTTTCCTCTGTGGAAGGGATGTGTGGACACCACTCTGGCTTTTGCGATGCGTCCCCGCCTCTGGTTATGTCATATTCCCCAGGCGGGGGCCGGAGCTTCTTGGGCCTGGCCGCCTCAAGTGAAAGGAATGCTGCGTGTCGCAGCCACCACGGGGAACACCCCACTTCCCAGACCTGGCTTCCCCGCCCGCGCCCCCCAGAGGGAGCAGCTGGGCAGCCTCCAGGTTGCGTTCTACAGGTTCCTGCTGGCCACCGGGCTGCGTGTGGAGTATGGAAGACCATTTCTCACTGAAGACAACCGGGAAGACAACCTGGCCCACTTTCCTTTCCAGTGGCCTGGTGGGTGCTCCGAAGCTCTGGGACCGGCCCCAGGAGGAAGCGGAAGGTGGGGTCTTGGAGGGGTGGTCACAGAGGACCTTCTCCGAAGAGAGATGTTCTCCCTCTTCCCGGAAGGGGTGGCTTTCCCAAGCCCCAGGTGAAGGCGAGAAGCCGGAGACACAGTCAGAGGGGCCCAGCTGAGAAAAAGGGGGAGCAGGTCGGGCAGCCTGCAGGCCAGGAGGCAGGGGCTGAACGCCAGTCCCTGTGGGGCCTCGCTCTGTGCGGCTGCCTCAGGAGGAGCCTGCTGTCTGGCGTCCTGGGCACTAGGCGGGGAATGAGACCCATTACCCGTCTTGTCTTTACCCCTGTACACAGTGGGGGCTTCATTGCCCCTGTGTAGCATGAAGCTCAGAGAAACCACCGAGGGTCTCTCTGCCACTGCTGGTGGTGAGCCATTGGGCAGGTGACGTCACCTCTCAGTTTCCCCAGGGATAGCAGGCGGGGCAGAGTGCAGTACACCGGAGGCTCCTTCCTCGGGGCCTCCTGTATTCTGGGGTCCTCCGGAAATGCCGGGAGCTGCACAGGACGACCTCTTCGTCGCCCAGGAGGCTGCAGGCAGCATGGATGCTTTGTGAGTGCTGAGATCTACAACCTGTGAGTCGAGGTTTCGTCTTAACTTCCCTGTGATCCGGGTGTCAAGTCCTTGTCGAGCCTTCTAGGTTGACAGCCCCAGTGGTGGCTGCCTGGTGGGCAGGGGAGAGCTCAGCTGTGCTGGCCCGGGTCCGAGCACATTGCCAGCCCTGACCTCCCACCCCGCTCCCCTGGATTGCCCCTCCAAGCCCACTTTGTCCTCTGCTGCTGCTCACTGGCCCCTCCCCTGAGGGTCTACTCCCCAGACAGTCCGCCTGGCCCAGGGGAGAGTGTCCTGGGAGAGCCCTGTGGCACAGGGACTCCCAGGACAGCTCCTTATTTCATGGTGGCTCCTGAGCAGACAGTCACAGCCGTCCTTGGGAACCGGGGCCGGAGTGCGGAGCGTGTGCGACTCCTGGACAGGCACACGTCCTGCAGGCCTGTGGAGCTTTCTGCCTGGCCGGGTGAGGGCGTTAGAAGCACCACGCTCCCTTTGTTCGTTTAGGCCAGAACCAGTTGCGTGGAATGAAGGGAGAAGACCCTGGTAACATCCATGACCAACCTTGGCTGAGCGAATCAGAGCCTGCCTGCTGTCCCCAGCTGCATCAGCCGCATGTGCGAGTGGTGCCGGGGGAGACAGTAGGCTCTGTTTCTAAGGTGGAGGAGACAGTTATGTGGCACCTGGTGGTGCCCTCCCCATCTTACATCTTTCTCTTTCTGCTGAAAACTGGGGTGTGGGGGTGTGTCAGACTGTAGAAGAGTTGTAAAAATGTGTTAAACAATTGGTAAGATGCCCACTTCCCACATTGGCATGCCTGTAATCAGTGGGGCTTCCACTCCTGACTGCAGCCTCCTGCCAGTGCACACCCTGGGAGGCGGCAGGTGATGGCTCAAGTAGTTGGGTCCTGTAGGGTCCCTGCCTGCCCCATGGAAGACCTGGGTTGTTTCTCGCTCCTGGCTTCAGCCCAGCCCAGTCCTGGCTGTTGCAAGCATTTGAGGAGTGAACCAGAGGATGGGAGTATCTCCCCACCCCCCTTCCTCTCTCTCTTTCTCTCCCCCTCTCAAATTTTTTAAATAGATGTTAATACATAGCTCACAGCCAGCCTCTTTTCCCCACGTCTGTCCCCATTGTCTCCCCTCTCCATGGGAAGATGTCTGTCCCCATGTCAGAATTTCCGCCTTCAGAAGGACCCCAGTCACATGGAGTAGGGCCCACCCTGGTGCCCTGATGTCAGTTTGATGACATCTGTAAAGAACCTATTTCCAGGGGCTGGCGCTGTGGCACAGTGGGTTAATGCCCTGGCCTGAAGCGCCGGCATCCCATATGGGCAACGGTTCTAGTCCCGGTTGCTCCACTTCCGATCCAGCTCTCTGCTGGGGCCTGGGAAAGTGATGGAGGATGGCCCAAGTGCTTGGGCCCCTCATCCGCGAGGGAAGCCCGGAAGAAGCTCCTGGCTCCTGGCTTCAGATTGGCGCAGTTCTGGCCGTTGCCGTCAACTGGGGAGTGAACCATCGGATGGAAGACCTCTCTCTCTCTGCCTCTCCTTCTCTCTCTGTGTGTAATTCTGACTTAAATATATCTTTAAAAAAAAAAAAAAAAAAAAAAAAAAAAAAAAAAAAAACTATTTCCAGTCAGTCACACTCAGGGAGGCCCTGGAGGTCAGGACTGCAACCCAAGAAATTTGGGTGCCATGTTGCAACCGCTGAGACTCCTCTGTCACCAAAGGTGACCACTGTGTCTTCTATGCATTTACATTTCTGCACCTTTATCTGTACATGAGGGGAACTAAAACAGAGTCATGTACCCTGCTACCTTGCTCTGAAACCTGTTGTTTGGTTTTTAATTAAATGTATCCTTGGCTTGTGACTACATGGATGGTGCCCTTCTCAACAGTTTCACTGTGTTCATAACATGGTTATGTTGCCATTTCCCAATCCAAAGCACTGTGCTATTGCCAACATTTGTTGAATACCTCCCTTGGCAGCCTTCTCGCTCTCTCTGTCCCTCATTTATCCTCACAATCACCTGATGAGGAAAATTAGTCCCATTCCCATTTGGTAGAAAAGAAAACAGTTTCAAGGAAGGAAATCTGCAGGCTCTGACTATCTGCTGGGTCTTAGTCCACCCGAACGAGGATGGACGGGGTCCAAAGAAAGGTAAGTGCACTGCTTGTCCGTTCCCCAGCCTCCCGATCCCGGAGACAATCAGAAGCAGCGGGGAGTCAAGTCAAGCAAGCAAGAACTCCGTTTATTGCACCTGTAGCAAAGCCTTTTAAAGCACAAGACCACAGGATACTGGGGCAGGGCATAAGGACCAACCAATTACTTAAAAGGTCATTTTACAGGGTGACTTTTTACAGGACCAGCCATATGTCTGTACACTCATCATCAGTCGTCACCTCCCTTGATGCTGCGCGGCCAATCAGCTTTGGTGGTAAACGACTTTGGGCACCGCCCACCTTACTTCCTTTGGGCGCCATCTTTAAATTGCCTCCTGTGCCTAATTTCCCCACAACTATCGGGGCTCTCTCAGCTGGTTCCTTGGTGTTTTTCAGATAGTTGTTGGTGACAATTGTAACCACGGAGAATGGGGCTGCTAGATAATTGGAAAGTTGGGGCAGGGAGGGTGAATTTCACATAAAAAAATTTTTTTATCCGATTAGAAAAATATAAGAGGCCAATGTGATGGTTCAGCAGGTTAAACCTCCACCTGCATTGTGCCAACATCCCCTATGGCCTCTGGTTCAAGTCCCAGCTGCTCCCCTTCCTATCCAGCCCCCTGCTAATATGCCTGGGAAAGCAATAGAAGATAGCCCAAGTGCTTCAGCCCCTGCCACCCACATGGGAGATCCAGATGAAGCTCCTGGCTCCTGGCTTCAGCCTGGCCCAGCCCTGGCTGTTGCAGCCACTTGGGGAATGAACCAGAAGATGTAACATTCTCTCTTGCTCTCTTGCTCTCTCTCTTCCTTTCTCTGTAAGTCTGCCTTTCAAATAACTGAATAAGTCTTTTTTAAAAAGAAAAATGTAAGATACAGTCCACCTAACCTTCTGGTTGAAATGGATGTGTGTTCCTTAACTTCTCCAATGAATTCAGAATAAATTCCTTGAGCCTTCTCTCCTGGTGGGGCTATCAGTCTTTGCAATAAATGTTTGAAGCTGGCAGTGAGCTCAGCACCTTGATCTCAATGCCTGGGCTGACTGAGGGCAGGAGGGTGATGCTTTGATGAATGAGCATCCATGACCTTTGCCAGGCCAGCCATACCAGTTTCAGCTTCTGCCTGGGAACTAACCAGCACGGGACAAAACTGACAGACCAGTCAACTTCTGTCCCTGCCCTTTCAGTTGCCATAAACCCCTTTGCAAGAACAGTGTCTTTCACTGTTACTCCAAAACCCTATGGAAGAAAAAGACTATCTGTATCAGTGTTACACCTGAAGGTGAGTTTGCTGCCCGGCTGTCTTCTTGGGAGCATTTATGTTTTTTTGTTTTGTTTTTTTGACAGGCAGAGTAGACAGTGAGAGAGAGAAAGGTCTTCCTTTTGCCGTTGGTTCACCCTCCAATAGCCGCCGCGGCTGGCGCGCTGCGGCCTGTGCACTGCGCTGATCCGATGGCAGGAGCCAAGTGCTCCTCCTGGTCTCCCATGGGGTGCAGGGCCCAAGTACTTGGGCCATCCTCCACTGCACTCCCTGGCCACAGCAGAGAGCTGGCCTGGAAGAGGGGCAACCGGGACAGAATCCAGCGCCCTGACCGGGACTAGAACCCGGTGTGCCGGCGCCGCAAGGCGGAGGATTAGCCTAGTGAGCCGTGGCGCCAGCCGGGAGCATTTATGTTATAAACCTTGTATCTAATAGTGGAATAAAACGTAGTGGTCTTTAAAAAAATTTCTTTATTATTTTAAAGGCACAGACACAGAGCTCCCACTGCTACTTCACTCCCCAAACACTCACAACACCTGCG